TATAAGGAATAAATTTCCACTCTTTGGCAGTCAATTACAAGGGAGTCTGGTAAATATTGTTTTTACAAGATGTGTATAAATCGTTAAGTAACGCTTGCGGTTGGCTAAGAGACATTTTGCACATCGTTTACTCAACATTACTCAATTCTTGATAAGTAAATATTTTGTAAATTAACTGTGTTTTTGGTAATATTTTTCAACAGAATAAGTTAACTTTTATAAAAATCTTTGCTTAGTAGTTTGTCTTTTTGAGGTTTGAATCTTCTCATTTTCGGTATTTAATGTATACAATGATTTGTGGTGTTACGATTCATTTTATGAATAAATTGTTTTGTTTCTCTTATTTCTGAAATCTTGTATTGAGTTTAACATTCTTTACTTTTGCATGGTTAAAATTGGTATCATTGTACAAATAATGTTCTTTCAAATTAAAAATTTCTTATCTATTTCTTATAAAATGTTATGTTATGAAGTTTTACTATGAAGTTCAACAGCCAAAAGTTACATTCTGTTCTGTCAATTCCAAATTTGTAATCACTGGATAAACAGTGTCAGGTAAAAGTTTTTTATTAAAGAGCATCTTTCATATCACTGCTGAAAACCGGTAATTTCTTGTTAAAACCTTACCTACTTGACAACTGACGTGCTTGCAAAGATGTTATAATATGTTTTCAATGATTTCTTGTTTCCTTTGATTTATAATTTGTTGTTTTTAAGCCTTAATTGAGCCCTAGGCCTAAGCTATTTTTTATCAACTAACTTTTTAAGTTAAGGCAAATTTCGACATGACTCTTTGTTTGAGACGTGTGCCAGAATTTCAAAGAGGAAATAAAAACAGGAAACTGCATGTTTTCCAGTGACAGATTTATTTAGTTGGAACTTTCTACTCACAAATCAAATAAAGTTTGAGTAAAGTTTCTTAAGGAAAAAACAAAAGTTTGTTTTAATCTCTGTGCATGCAACGTGAAACAAATAAGTCCAAACCACTGTTTGTAAAATCATCTTATGCTTTATAAAAGTATGTTTTTGTTTGGCATTTATAAAGAGTTTTTATTTTTCATTTTTACAGTTTATTTCTTATTTTCCAATTTTTTACTTATTTACAACCAAATGATTATACATTTATAGATGTAATTATGTGTAACTACTACATGATTTTGTTATTAAATGCCATATAAATTAATAGTTAATCACTGAACTGACATTTGAAATTGACTTGAAACAGACTTTTGCATTTACTTTATTACTAGAAAATATTTAGTTGACATCAGTACACTAAAATCCACCTCGTAAGACTCCGGGATTTACAATAAGAAGTGAAGTCTGCTTTGCAGTATCTTAAATCAATTTATTAGCCACTACTGAAATATCTGTTGAAAATACAGGCTTTGTTAGAATGTCTTCAAACCATCGTTTTTGAAAATTACTCATGAGAGAGTTGGGGTTTATTAACCAAAGCAGTCTCTATTTTTGCGGTAGCTACAAAAAAATAAAAAAACCTAAATGTTTGGACGCACTGGTAAAAGTTACTTGGATTTAAAAAAGTAATACACCAATACTATTTATCGGTTATCATCGATCATCAACCTTTTTCACTTTTTACCTACCTTGATTACCTCCTCCTTGACCGAGACCAGTAGAGCCGGATAGGTTGCGTCAATTTATAATATTTACAGTATATACACTAAAAACTTCCATAGATTGAAATAATAAGTACTTTCGCCAAAAAAGTAAAATTGCCAAAGTATTTTAAATTAATTATATTTTCCAACTATTAATGCTTTTTTTGAGAGTTTACCATTAATCAATTCTTTTAAAATTATCAATTTTTACCAAATTGTCAATTGGTATTTGCAAATCGTCAATTTTTTAATAATTTACAACTACTCTTGTAAAATTTGTCAATTTTTAAATCATCGACAACTTTCATAAAACGTTTTGATTTTCCCTCAAGGTGCAGATTTTGAAAATCCGTTGAACGTAAAACTTTTCTCGTTACCGTGGCTGAAGCAGACAACCCACTTGTGTGTAAACAGTGGGGAAGAATGGGGTGATTGATTATGAATTGATTGAAGCCCCTCCCCCCCCTGACGCTTACTGCCACTTTGTGCCAATAATTGACTGAGCTACGACACAGTGATTCTTACTGACTGACATTTGTGTTATTGAATGGGAGCAAGGTTTTAGGGTTTTGATAGTGTATTTGGTTTTCATTGCAACTTTGTAGATTTATTATTTGCCTCAAAATTTCAACTTGAAGGATAGAGAAGTATTGTGCAAGAGATAAAATTGCAAGATATAATGGACTTGATATAATCAATTGTTTTAGAAAACCATTCAGACTTTTAAGATTAGTTGTTTATGGAAAGTTCAGTTGTACAAAAAATAGAAATTACATTTGTTTTTAACCCAAGTTAAACTATGATTTTTACATTGTAGTTATGCATTTAATGAGTTTTCATTAAAATGGTCATATTTAAAGAACTTAAGAGCTATTTAATCGCCTCAATATAACATACAAGGCAGTTATTTTAATATTTTTCCTCAATTTATTTTCATAAGTCAGGACTTCTTTCAAATTTAGGAATAGGATACAAATGGAATTAAAAAGTATATTGAACACATTTCTAAGTTTTCCTTTTAACTAAAACCATTATGTGAGATTTTTTAATTGTTTATCAAAAGTGCAACTACTAAAATTTTAAAAACCATTACAATTTAAATTTGATAAACGTTTAGTTTATCATCTATACTTATTTAATACGCAAGCAGGATTTTTGTGACAATTACTCCTCCGAAACTACTGAACCGATTGTCATGTTTTTGGTGTCATTGAAAAGAGCGTAGCGTGAAGTTGTGCAGGAAACTTTCTTTTTAGGGAAATAATGAGAGAGTGAGGCCCTGGAGCCCTTTAAAGTTTCGTATTTCTCCATAAGATTAACATTGGAAACAAAAATTGTTATGAAACTCCAGCTGTTGTCAGAAATCAAAAGTGAGAAGAAGAGCATAGGTTAATCCTAAACAGTCAATAAGTTTGCTAATATAGTATTATAACAGTTTGCTACAAATATTTACTTAGCAATTGCTCGAATTCGAGCAACAGGGACACTAGTCAATAATAGTTTTCTTATGGAAATTTGTATTTGCAATGCAATGCAATGGAAAAGTGGTTGTATACTTCCGCTTACTTTCTCCATGTCTGATAGTAATTAACGACTGCAAGGCTCGGTTGCTAATTTCGCCAATGGAAGGTTATTGCCTATTATGCTGCTGGTTGCAATTCTCACCAATCACTGGAATACTACTTCCAGTTTTAAAACTTTACTGTCTTTCACTATCGATTGGCTTTAATTATTGCTGTTTAATGAAGTTAATGTGCTGCTAAGAAATAACTTAAAATCCATTAGGTAAATTTGTTAGGTATACTTAGGCTATTATTAAGTAAAATGTATTTCTACTTTGGTTAATTTGCTGAATTTTCAAAGCAAAATCATAATTGTTAACTTCTCAGGTTGTACTTGTAAATTAACTATAGATCTGTAGAATTGTCAGAAATTCTTGAGCTATTTAAGTTATGTTTTCTTATAACCAAAATGAAAGTCGATTATAATTGGAGTTCTTCAAAAAAACAATTGTTTGAATCCTTCTTCATTTTATTTTTAGTCAGATTGGCTGTGATTAATTATCAAGGCCTTACTAAACTTTTGTTTTAATACCCACTCTTTTTTTTTTATATTCACATTAAAACACAATGTCTGTTAACTTCTTATGAAGATATATCAGTACTGAAATGCAGATCATTGTAGAGGCTACTAAATATTTAGATTTTGCTCATTTAATGTTACTAGCTAGTATAAAATTTTCTCAATATATAGCATTCCAATTCATTGTTTAAAATTATAAAAATAATGTTGGAATTGTTACATCTAGCTTATAATATAACTGTTTATGTATATAATTTATATTTTATTAGTTTGGCAATTAATCATAAACTTTTTATACTTGTCAAAATTGAGTAAAATACATTGTAATTGATTTTATTTCTTTTAAGGTTCAAATTATTTTTAATAGAAAAACTGGGTAAATTGAAACTTGAACTAATTTTCTTATGATACTCGTCAAGGAAGTCGGAATAAAGTGAGTGGGCTAATCAGTCTAAAAGCTCGAGCTATAAAAGAAAATTGCAATGCGCTGAGGCCATTGAAACAAACCAAACACTTGTTTTTTATTGTTTGTAAGCTTGTGAGATTAAACAATCATACTAGACGAAAACTCAAGACGTTGCTGTCTCGGATTTTAGTTATTCTCTATCACGCACAGGTCACTGTGCCCCTTGTGATATTTTTATATTTATTTCTGCAAAAAATGTTTTGTTATCAATAAAGAATTTCTCTCTCTCTAGTCTGCTGCACTTCTGACTATGACAACAACTCTGCAATTTTTTTACATTTCATTACAGTAGACTCCCTCTTATCCAGACACCTTTTAACCGGACTACACTCAGCGGAAATAACATCTCTTAAACATGACAATTTTTATCAGCACTTTGGTTTAACCGGACTAAATTGGCAGGATACTGAAACAACTGTTCTCGTGGGAAAGATTTGAGACCAGTGATCCAGTGTCTAAATACAATGCTCTCCTAAATTTAAGTCAAATATGTATACATTATGCATTAAAACGGTCCGTTTTAACAAATTGTTGGGGAATTTTTGGCCTCAGTCCCGAAGAGTCCCAGATAAGAGGGGGTCTACTGTATAATGATTTCCAATGAAGGTGGACGATGTTCACCTGTGGCCTACTCAAATCAAGCCTTTACTTCATTTGCACTACACTATTTTAAAAGTTCAATACTAAATAAAACACTCTCACATATTTATATTTACTATAAACTTTTCTTTCATAAAATTTGTTTATATCTATCTAATTGTAAAAGATATATTTTAACATTTTCTTGACATGTTTGAGAACAAGTTGGTGACCAACAAATGGTGTTTCAGTGTCGAGATGCACAAGAGTCGCGCGGCGTCGTACGATGGCAAGATCGCAGGACTGTACGACCTGGAGGCGACGCTGGGCAGTGGACACTTTGCTGTGGTCAAGCTGGCGCGCCATGTCTTCACAGGCGAGAAGGTTGCGGTCAAGGTCATCGATAAGACGAAGTTGGACGACGTCTCCAGAGATCATCTGTTCCAAGAGGTGACAACTAGTTTATTTTCATAAAATCAATCTTATTTTTACAAAATCAATCTTTAAATTGTACAGTCAATATATTTTTGTAAAAGATTATGTACACTGTTGTAGAATCAAAAATTAATTTGTGTCGAATTGATGATTTCATTGGTGTAGATACAAAAATTATGTTCTGAATAAGTTTTTCGCCACACTACAACACAAGCACAGCTTCTTTCTTTTTAGACTAGAAAGTCGTTTACAGAAAGTGACCTGTAAAGTCAGCTGGAGTACAGTTAACTTAATAGTCTTTGCAATAAGCTTAAACAAAGGCTATGCTACACCCCCCTTTGCAGTGATAAAATAACCCTAATGGTTTTAAATACTGTAATAACAGGCCTACTATATTAAGTTTACAGTAGAGTTGAATTGGATAACAAATAGTTTGCAACAACATTTTTAGGGTGTGGTTTGCAGGAATACATTTAAACACAAGACAAGAGGCGCTTAATGATGATTCAAAGCTACTAATTTAGTCGACATTTTGACACTTGAATTCATGGAATAGTTTTTGGGTGACTAATCAATTTAATTTCTTCAATGCAAATACTTTTATAACATTGTAGACAAAGTTATATGTATCATTCACCATACTTTTTGAACTTAATTGTACAGTGACAGTTTTTCAACATAAAAATATCAATGAATGCATACTCTGTAATGAAATTAGAATGCCCCACTTTGATGTAGAAACCCAATAAAATGACCAGGCTTGTTTAGAGAAACTCTTTGCTTTTCAACCCAACACATATTGTTTGAAAAATTTGTGTATACATTTTAATAACAAATAAGTCTTAACAATAAAAAATCATTATTCTAAAATACATTTTAAAACTAAAAGGTTATTTTTAGTAATGTTTTTATTAATGTGTATTAAGATTTTTTTTCATTATAGGCAATGTATTCTATATCTAATCTGCAAAAAACAAATACAAAAGTAAAGTAAGGTAGTCTCTTTTATATCTGATTAAATGGAGACAGTTCCCGAGTCTTAAGTTGTACCATATAAAACTAGAGCTAACCCAGCAGCAAGGTCTAATTTATAACTCCAAAGCCAAGAAGAAAAGCTATAGAACAGTGTAAAGTGATTGAATACAAACATAACAAATATGCACACATTTCTTATTTCAATGACTGGAACCACATGTTTAGACAGCTGGTGTATATTTCAACGATGCAGTGCAGATGTTTAACTGTGCTTAATCTCATACGATATTTCGCCACTGTCACATTGATTTCTCCAATGAATTTTTATAGTATGGATGGCTTCACTTATTTGTTAACAAAACTATTGAACTACCCACCATTTTAACTCTTTCCGAAGCAAATTTTGACTCCAATGGGGTCTTTAAGCGAATTTCCTATAAAGGAAATGAGCTGTATTTGCAAGTCTTATGGTAAGACTTGCATCCAGGTCCAATTTACTTTTTTTGTTTTGATATCCCCAGAGGCCAAAACCACCCTCTGTTCAATATGAATATATATTTATGATTACAGCGACTACTTAAAGCCACAGCCTTCTGTAGGTCAACAAAACGAGTTATTATACTGTTAATACTGTTCGATGAAATGGCGACCATACATAGTAGGTATTTTAAGCCAAGTATGAATGGAGATGAGTGTAGGATGAGTGGCGTGATCTTGTAGTGACATAGACATAGACATATAGACATTGACATAGACTTTATTTGCACAAAACATTCCATACATGTCATAACATTTAGAATAGGTGCATTGTCAAAATTAAATCCATACATAAAATATTTAACATTAAAACTTTTAACTTAAAACTAAACACTTAAAAAAAAAATTCTAAATTTTAGTTCTGTAAAAATCTTCAATTAAGTAAAAAGCCTTGTCAATAAGAAAATTATCTATTGTATCTTTAAATTTGGTTTTGCTTAGTGACTTATAGCATGGCGGAAGCACATTGTACAATCTCAGCCCAGCGTACAATGGAGATTTTTCATATAGGGCCAAACGGTGTCTGGGGAGTCTAAATATATTTTAATTTCGGGTTTCATACCTGTGATTAAAATGTATTGTTTCTGGTAGCTAATTTTTAACTGAATGTATGTAATTTAATAATTCTAGACTATACAACCCCGTTAATGTATGAATTCTTAAATTTTGAAAATGTTTCTTACAAGAACTGCGTGGATGAGAGGTGGTAATAATACGAATAATACGTTTTTGTAACCTGAATAAAGTTTTAATACCAGTAGCTTGACCCATAAAATTATGCCATATCTTAACACTGACTCCACATAAGCATGATAAACTACTTTAAGTGTCTCAATAGAAACACAGTCCCTTGAAACAGTGTTTAACAACACTTTCAACCAACGCACACAACATTGCCAACACTTCCTCTCCACAATATTTGCCCCCTACTATTACAGGAGTTCGTTTAGTCTTACTTTACTCATCATCAACTATCTACAGGTGCGATGTATGAAGCTGGTGCAACACCCGAACGTTGTGCGGCTTTACGAGGTGATAGACACACAGACCAAGCTCTACCTCATACTGGAACTGGGCGACGGAGGCGACTTGTACGACTACATCATGCGACACGAGGCAGGACTGAGTGAGGGAGTGGCGCGTGAGTACTTCCGTCAGATAGTGCGTGCCATCTCTTACTGCCACAAGCTGCACGTCGTACATCGGGACTTGAAACCGGAGAATGTGGTGTTCTTCGAGAGGGTCGGGGTGGTTAAACTGACAGACTTTGGGTGAGTTTGAAGATAATTATTGTCTTTATGTTTGTTATAAGTAGTAGGGGAAGTGTGGGAATGGTGTTCCAACTCTGCATTTGCAACAAATCCTATCGGTGACCCTTGGTTTTCAAGAAATAAGAGATGTGTGTAAATGTTCCCTCACTGAAAAATTTATGATTACAAATTTACTATTTACGGCTGTAGTGTCTATAATACAGGTTAAGCACCATATGTTATTGTCAATCCACTATTATTACTTGATACTGAAATCTCCTACTGGAAGAACTGATGTGCCGTGGTTGTCAATTTGTTGTTGGCCTTGTTAGTTATAGCTTCACTTTAAAATCTCAGAAGATAATCAAATTGTCACAAACTCGTATGGCCAAGGGAATGATTGAAGCACGTTAAAAAACTCATTAAAACAGTAAAACGAATTGGTAACCTGATTGCATACCTGACCAAAACGATTAAGGAAAGACACCAAAATGAGTTCTCAAGAGTTGAGGACGGAGCTATATCGCTCTGAAACTAGTAGTATAATAAAAGGTGGGTGATTGACCATGACCTGAGGTGCGTAACTTATATTATTGACGTTGGTTTAAAAAACCTATCTGTATATATGAACATGGTCATAAGTTGCATAGAAAATTATCATTTCTTTATCATGTTTTCATAACAAAAATACCGTACCTACATTTTCAAATCTGGGGTTTGCAAAGTGCTACTATAGTTTTGCAATAGTTTTACTATGGGGTAATAGTTTTTCATTGGTGAGTAGCTGCCTTTGTTGGCATTTTTTATACAGGGTGGTAAAAAAGTCCCTGGACAGTTCAATATTTTAAAAAATAATGTAGATAGAGCTACAATACTTAGTACAAAGTTACAGGGCATAAAACTCTATTTTAACACATATTCAGTGATCCAATAACTCTTCAGGGGGACGGCCCTCAAGGAGTCGGAAGAAAATCTTAAATAGAAGCATAGGTCAATATGCACATCAAATTAAAGGTCTTTTTTAGTAGAATACAATGCCGCAAACCGCACTTCAAAAGGTTGATCCTGCGCAAAATGGCAGATGTTCAAAGATTTCTTAAATCCGCCATTTTGAATCTTTGAACGACTGCCATTTTTTACTCAGGCATTCTTTTGAGCTTGAATTTACGGCATCGTAATCTACAAGTGAAGACCTTTAATTTTATGTGCATATCGACCTATTCTTACGTTAACAATTTTCTTCCGATTCCTAGGGTTGTGCCCTGAGGAGAAAGCGTATAATAGCAATGTTAATTAAATGAATCTTTGAACAACTGTCATTTTGCGCAGGATCAACCTTATGAAGTGCGGTTTGCGGCATTGTATTCTACTAAAAAAGACCTTTAATTTGATGTGCATATTGACCTATGCTTCTATTTAAGATTTTCTTCCGACTCCTTGAGGGCCGTCCCCCTGAAGAGTTATTGGATCACTGAATATGTGTTAAAATAGAGTTTTATGCCCTGTAACTTTGTACTAAGTATTGTAGCTCTATCTACATTATTTTTTAAAATATTGAACTGTCCAGGGACTTTTTTACCACCCTGTATAGGCACTGTATGATTTAGTATGAATTCCTTTACCACGGAAGATTCCACAGTTTATAAACATCTTTTAAAAAGGAAACAGAATATCTAAAATAGTCTGGCACCTCTAAATAAAATACAGAGAGTCGGTGTTGTCATTAAGGTCCCAAACAAAAAATTAATTTGTTTGGATAAATTCGAACAATTCCCAATAACTAGAATAATTAACCATCCACATTAAAATAATATTGCAACTCTATACCCAATCTAAATAACAAAAAAATAAGGTCCATTTTACCTATTATTGCTAGTGTAACTGGAGGTTGAATTATTTTCCTAAATCCTCGTGTTGTCCAGTTTCAGCAATAGATTCTGTCCTGGCCAGAAGCTGGAGACTTCTTGTGGATCTCTTGCTTATTCAGCGCCGGAGATTCTCCTCGGAGATTCTTACGACGCTCCCGCAGTCGGTTAGTTGTAACTCATTTAAATTGAATACCATGTCTTGTACTTAGTTGTGGCATTTTGATAATGCCTAAGTACGCATGTGTAATATGTTTTGGAATGTTTGTGCATCTAATACTTTAGTACAGTCATGCTTCATGTAAAATTTCCGTCTTCAAGATTTGTTTGGTTTGCTGCAACATTTATACAGTGACGGTGAAATAAAAATCAAATTTATCATTAAAACTAAGTTTTATCGAAACGGGTTAAATATTACCTACTAACTCTATAATTATTCATATTTACTTCTGCTTACCCACTTTGAATGGCATCATTAACATAAAGATTATCAACCTAGTATTAGTAAACAATGTCATAAATTTTTAACAGTCCCGTACATTCTAAAGCAGTGAGTGTTGATTCAAGTGTGATTATCTGTGTATGCTCAGTCAATTCTCATCAGGCACAATTGCAGTAATATTCCTTTTTAAAACTCAGCTTATTTAGTTTATCTAATAGAGCCTTTAAAAGTAATATTTTTTAAACTTGACTGTTGCTTATTTATAAACTTGGGGGAATTTTAGGTAAATGAATAATAGAGTTAAGCTAGTTCCCTAAAAAAGTTAAGGTCACAAAACATACACAAACACAAAACATAACTCTGATATTTTGTCCTGATGTAGGACTTTTTCAAACGTGTAGTTGTACCAAGTAGGCCTACCAACAATACACATGCAATTACTTCTGATGTTTCTGCAAGTCATAAAAGGATTTTTTAAATCAAGGACTCTCAATACATCAACTTGGCCATGGATTGTATTTACACATGGTTGGTAACAGGTACCATATGATTTGTTTCAGACGTCTGGTCGTTGGGAGTCATACTGTACATGTTGGTGTGTGGCCAGGCTCCCTTCCAAGAGGCTAATGACAGCGAGACGCTCACTATGATCATGGACTGCAAGTACACTGTGCCAAGTCACGTCTCTGATGGCTGCCGCAGGTAAACCTCACCTCACGCTCATGTGGGTTATGTCTTCATATAACTTAAGTCGAAACTTTTCACCCACCTGTTTATTTTGGCAGATAAGATTTTAGTCCGAGAAATGGTCTTTCTACTTTAAAATAGGCCCTACATTGGCCAAATGTATTGTAATCTTTGTTTAGCCATTTCCCGACAGTTGTCAGAAAAGATACCAATGCTTACTAACATTTGTCTATAAACCTGGATTGCAGGGTTTTTGAATTGGAATTGACTGATACAAAGTGTTATCGAAAAACAAACTCAGCAGGACCAGTGTGAACAAGTCTCTTGTTGTTAAACGTATCCTTGATATTGCCTCTTTAAACAAAGGATATGATCTTAAAAACTCTGATATTAAGATTGCACTAGGCCTACTTAATTTCTTGCACCTTCTGTGAACTCTTTTACTCCTGCAATGAAATACCTGTGACTAGCCCTTTTGCTAGTACTGCAGCTCATTCACATAGCTTTAATTTGATTAGCATTCCTATCGTTCTGCAATTGATCCTCAATCATGATTGAGTGTTCACACCATTGGCATTTTAATGGCACAATTATTCTTGCAGGCTGATAGGCCGGATGTTGGTGAGGCAGCCGGAGAAGAGGGCCACTCTGGAGGAGATAGCCAGTGATTCGTGGCTGGTAGAGGGAGATACGGGTCAAGACCTGTCCATGCCTCTAGTATCCAGACAACAACTGTCAGATGAGGACCATACCCTCATAGTGCAGAAGATGGTCAACGGAAAGATTGCTACCAAAGAGGAAATATTGGAGTGAGTTTATTTTACTAATTATGAACCTGAAATGTTGGGGTCTGCAAGTCCTCAATATTTTCGGGTCGGGCCGGAACAGTAGGTCCAAGGGATCGGTTTAGGCCGGGAATATAATTTTCAGCTGAGCCTCAATTTCTGCGATTGCACCAATTTTGTCTGTGAAGAATCATCAATTAAAGGTGTCAATTTTGTCACAATCCCCTGTTATGTTCTCAGTCTTGATCAATCAACAATGATAGTCTCGCTTTTGTTGTGACTTCTGAAGATATTATAAAATGTAATATGACTGCAGAATACGTTCATGAATTCACTGTGACCACAGAAGATGTTCACAATTTTTCTGTGACCGCGGAAGCAGTCACTATTTTCATTTTGCCATTGCTCGGAAAGATTCTCTTGATTTAGCGGTGACCGTGGAACAGATCAAATCAAATAAAAAAAAATCTTTATTCATTCTTCATCAGTGCATTTATACAGTATGTGTCACAGTTTTCCCCCAGACCACAGACAATGTTCATAATTATGTAAAAATGGGTTGCAGTATTAGGATTACAATTAATAACATTTTCAATACAATACTTCCCAAAGCAAAACTTGTTACCCAAAGTAAAAAAAATTGGCCCTAAATCTCTACTGAAATATTATATTATTGCAAAGGGATGAATAAGTTGTGGGTATTGCTTGTATTTTAACTTATGATAATTAATTCAAACAAATTACTGTCAATACTTTAACTTATAATCCCTTTCCTTTTAAAAAGACCAACTCTCTTTAACAAAAGGGTCCTATCTACACTTACTCTGCATTTTTATTCAGCTCAAGCATTGAGTGTTTTGTTGTAATTCTTAGATAGAAACTCTATTTACTTGTTATTGTTTGCAGTGCGCTGGATAAAAACGAGTACAACCACATAACGGCGACCTACTTCTTGCTGGCCGAGAGGAAACTGAGGTCGCAGGAGCCGAAGCAAGTCAAGAGCCCGGGGTGAGTGGAATGTTGGTCAAATGTATTCTACACTTGATGTGCGCATGAGTCTACAGATTTTGCAATTTTGATTCTTTGCCATACACAAAGAAAGCTTTTGAACATGATGAATTATTTGGCACATTTATTTTTGTTGCTACCAAACCTATCTTGCTCTTTAATAGTGAATATAAGGATGCACTTTCAGCAGTTTTAATTGTCCTGAGAGACTTAGTTATGATAAAGCTCAGATTCAAAGGCAGATATTCTAAATGTCTGCCCAAAAAACCTAACTTGAGGGCAATCTGGTATTTTACTAATTTAGATTTACCACTGTCCTAATCAGGTAGAGTCTACCTGATTTAATTTTATCTCATTTAAATTTGCTTGATTTAAACTTTTTAAATACTGAAATTATTACTAATTTTTGCTTAACCTAAAAATTGGTATAGTTAATAGTACATTTATCTTTGAATAGGTATAGTTAATTGTAAATTTATCTTTAAAGAGCTTATCGCAGACATGGTAATTGGTACATTGTGATGATCTGTATTGGACTGACCTGTTGCAGGGTGTGTGCGCCGAGTGTGCGGGTGGACTCGTGTGAAGGTTCGACGCCGGTCGTTGCACCTGCGCCCACGTCCGTCGGACTGCTGAGGTCGGCCGAGCGAGCGCGCAAGTGCAGCATCGTGGCGGAAGAGGAGGACGACGAAGATGACCGAGGCAGCTGCGGAAGTCACTCCTCTTTGAGCCGTCGTGGCAGTCGCAGTGAGGGTAAACTGCATCTGGCCGTGCAGGAGCTGCGGAGGGAAGCAGTACCAGTCAATATCATCACTGAGGTAGGTACCAACCAGCTGACTCACAGTATGATAACAGTTAACAGAATAGTACCCATAAGTCAATGATTAAACTCATTGGGAGCCTCCTTTATCTCTGTGTTGAAAGTTTTTCTTTACTCCAATTTTTTAAGTTATTCTGCAAAATATCTACCCCACCCCATTTGTCTTTGTACTTGAAACTGAATGGATTTCTCTAAGAGTGTTGTTTGTTAAAACAAAACTCATCATGCATTATTCCCCCTCATGTATTATCTTTGTTTAGGCGTCCACGGCACCCAGTCCTCTCCACACGTCGGGACACGCTCCAGTAAGGTCAGTCAAGACACTTCCTGCTCCTCTCCCCACCGCACTCAGCTCACCTCAGATAGGTCTGGGCGAGATCTCCGAGGAAGGGAAGGAGGGGCAGGCCAAGCCCACAGGCACGCCGCGCTTCACAGCCTACGAACAACGGAGAAACAAGTTCCGCAAGACTCGGACTGCGTCGTGTAGCTCGTCTGACGCCAGCGACGAAGACTCTGAGGGAAGAAAGAAACGTGGGAGTACCAAGTCCCTACACAGAGGGAGAGATCCCCAGGATCCGGGGGGAAGTGGGGGAGGTTCCGGAGGGACAGGTGGAGCTCCACCTCCGGGGGGAAGTGCGTCAGGTGAGAGTTTGGTTTTACATTGACTTTTTTTTACTCTCTTAAAATTTTTAAGTTGATTGATTTTTACAATGTCTTTTTATAGACCTTCTCTCTGGTATACAAAACTTTTAAGATACATAAGCTGCTAACGTTAAATTTCAAGATGTGTTTGAAAATGTTGTTATTGCATGTATGTAACATGTTGTGTAGGGGGAGCAGGTAACTTCCCGCCAGCCAGTAAGGGTCTAGGAGGTGCTGGACCGGGCCAGGGAGGCCCCACTCAAGGTCATCGCCAGTGTCTCAACAGCCGTCACCGTCGCAGGGCCGGGGAAACACGACTAAGGGAGAGTCAGAGTCTCAACAGGATTACTGAGGTTCAGGAAGGTAAGTGCCAACTACCAAGTCAGCATAACATCAGTTCAGCCATAGACTAGCCAACACAAGTAGACTCCTCATCCCATTGTAAATTTTGAAGCTCGTTTTTCGTGTCTAGTTCATATCCGGTGACAATGTTTGCTAGTGTCAACAAAACTTTGTTTCTATTATTTTAGGGTTAATTTAACACTTATACCGAAACCCTACCCAGCCTGACCGAAACCCTCGGTCTGTGAGATCCCATTTGAAAATAATGGACCCCGCTTAGAAACACACAATCCGAAACCCTGGGTCTGTGAGACCCTGCTTTGAAATTCACTAATGCTGGGCTTTTGAGACGGGCATGATATGAACAGACAACCTGTCAAGGTCATGGCACCCACGCAAAATTAATAAACAATATATCAACAGGTAGGGGAGGAAAAGGGGGGAGGTATTGGGGGAATGGAATCCCCCTAGTTAACAGTGTTGCCAACATGCGTTTGTAAAAATTCCCATGGGCCTGTCAGACCGGGGTTTCAGTATAAGTGTTAATGATTTGTGCGTTATTGTTTGGTTATATAACTAGAGGATCAGTTATTATTTATGATTAGATCGTTTTATTCGGTTAAACGAGGTTTTTAATGACTGAAATAACAAGAAAGAAATTGTAAACAAAATACCCCCGCCGCAGCAAACCTGCCGACTAAGCGAATTTCCATTTGCCTGAATTGATTTTCAGTTAAATATATTTTAATAACATTAGGTTTAACGAGTACCTAGGTTTGCTGCTACAAAGAAACTAATAAAGTGTGTTTTTGAGTAAAATATTGATAGCTTAGTACAAAATAAATAAATTTGCCAAGTTTGATCAAAATATATCCATAAACAAGCAAACTACAACATTTGACAATATGCTCCATAAGAATAACATGGGAATTTTAAATTTAAAATTTTTCTAATTTTCTCCGTTACTAATAATCGAACAAAAATTCTTTTATATACTAAATTATTTGTTTTTTTAAGCTCTTTAAAAAGTTCTAAAGAGAAATCGGGAAATTTTGTGTTTTGAGGGTCAAAAGTGAGAAAAACCAATTTTTACCCCATAAAACCCCCCGTAAAGCCCCGTTCCCATGGTCCGATCGTGCTGGTTCGCGAACTCATTCAAGTTTATCCCGCTTTACACCTTTAAACCAAATTTCATCAAAATCGGACAAAAATTACTCAAGTTATCGCGTTCACGGACGTATATATATATATATATATATATATATATATATATATATATATGTCTATATATATATACATATATAAAAATTTGAACGAATGGTGTTTTTGGCCTCTGGGGACATCAAAATGAAAAAGTAAATCGGTCCCGGGTCTAGGTCTTACCGTGCCACCTACGGTAATAGCTACTTCCCTAAAGGGAAATTCGCTAAAAGGACCTCTACAGTGTACCAGACAGAACTAACAATAAAACTATCTTCAGCTGATCCATAAGGATGAGAACTTCACTAAAGTTTTATCTATGGTTCAGCTATGGAGTTATAGTACTGGACCTGATCTATGGCTCACAACTTCTTTTATTACTAGGTAGCATCAATAAATCTGCTACAAACTTCCTTTCAGTAGGATGTTTTCATTGATTACAAGGCATAAGTTGATTTTAAACTGTGTAAATCAAAATGTGATATTTATCAGGAACTTGGTTTACAGGTTGTGTAGTGTGTAATGTGTCGCTATGTTTGTAGGAGAGCCGCCGGTGTCACCCAAACTACCGCCTAGCCCTGTAGAGCGTGATGCTGCAGAGGTGAGGAAACACCAGTCCAAGCGTAACGCTCTCATCGGCCGATACCTCAGTCTGCAGCGCAAGCTGTGCGTGTGGAGCCGCGGCCGCGTACGCAAGGACATCAACCAGAACCTCGGCTCTGCGGCAGTCGCGGTACGTGTCATTGACTTCAGTTCTAGAGGTTGAGTTCATAAATGTCGCAAAGGTTAGTCTGTTTGGGGGGAAAATGTTTAGGAATACAATAAGAGAGGTAGCGGATATACAGTCTAACCTTGATATAACAAACCTCGATATAACGAATTCCTTGATATAACAAATTTTTGGAATCCCCTAGAACTCTCCATATGACACAATGTATGTTATATCTCTACATAACAAACAAACCATATCAACGACCTTGATTTAACGAATTTTTTATGATCCCGGCTAAAATATGACACCTCAATATAACGAATTTGTCATTGTCAGAACCTCTACATAGCGAATTTAACCTCTACTTAACGAATTGTCTGCGTCTCTCCCTCGACACAACGAACCCACCACCCCATCATTGTTTTTTTTAAATAAGTTTCTTCATCAAATGAAATGGAAAGGTGACGTCATCGTTCGCGCTAACATTCGTCTGCTCCATTTTAACACATCGCTGTCTGCCGTCTGCTGTCGTCGCTGCATGCGTGCTATGTTAGAACTGAGAACTGATTTCATTCACTGAGAACTGATGACGACGTAATGTGTAGTAAGCTGTGATCGGGTGATAAGTAAATATGGTGAATTGTACAATTTTTGGAAAGTAAATAAAAGAAACGTCTTATAACACTTAAAACATATATTTACGCTTATACTGTTACTCACAAGACGGTAAATATACAAAAAAGGTGGTAAGTGGTGATCGATTTCGATTGGACACTCCAATCATCATCAGACCCAATAGGCGAATGACAAGAATCTTGAATTGACTTATACCCTATTGGCTACCGGAAGCACCGGCCAATACATTTTTATAAGTACAACTGGAATCAAAATGTATTTGTTCATTAATCAACTTATCTCTATCTTTACATTTTTCCTTATAAATATACAATTCTTCCCAAGCATTCATTACATATCCTTTCTTACAATTCTTTAAAATATCTAGACTATCCTCCATTTTTCCTAGTGAGTGCCCATTTTGTAACAGGTGTTGTGCGACATTTGATCTTTCCGGTTTGTTGTTCCTCCATGCAGATATGTGGTTTTTGAAGCGGTTAACGAAGTTCACAGTCTGTCCAATGTAGAAGCTATCACAATCGTTACAATTGATTTTATATATGCCTGAAGTGTAGAATTTGTTACAATCTTCTATTTTTGGATGCAGTATTTTACTCATGGTGTTCTGAGTCCTGTAGGCTATTGAAACTCCGTATTTCTTGAATCTGTTAGCAGTCCTTTGTGTTGTAGTCCCCGTGTAGCTAAATGTGATATATCTAGTGTTTTCCTCTTTTATCTCTTCTAATTTTGTTCTGCTGTGTAGTGTATTCTGTCTATCAATTTTCCTCCTCGTCTTCCTTGCGATGTCCTCTATCGTCTTGGTCCGAAATCCATTCACTTGAGCGATCTTCTTAATGGTGTCCAGTTCTTTTTTCCTATTGGCTTGGCTAAGTGGGATCTTATAGGCTCGGTACAGCATAGATCTAAAGGCTGCTGTCTTGTGGATTGTCGGATGGATAGACTTGTTGTTGATTGTAGTGTCCGTTTGCGTAGGTTTCCTGTAGATGTCAAACTCTCTATCAATTTTCAATTTCTCTACAATTTTTGGATCAAGAAAATCCTAAGAAAGAAAAAAATAGAAGAACAAAGCAAAGAGAAAGAATAGAAACATCGTTATCTTAACATTCCTTTTACGATTGTTTTTATTATCTTTAAGTTGGCTATGATTATACACTTTTATAACGACTTATCTAATAATTTTATTATTTTCATTTCAATACGATTTGTTTAAACTAAGGCAACACTAATTCCATAGTTGATGATTATTACAGTATTGACATTCCTCTGTTGTGATTTAAAGCAGTACTGTAGCACTGTAACTGTAGCCTACCGGCCTATCACGAACAGTAGCTTATAAAACTCTCTACTGTTTTGTTTTGTTCTTAACGTGGTTTATTGCTATACAATACCTACAGTGTTTGGCTAGGTTTTAGGTGGGTTAGAGAAAGCGAAATTCCTGCAAACCTAACCTCAATATAACGAACCTCGTTTTAACGAAATCCTTGATATAACGAATATTCAGTTCGGTCCCTTCAGATTCGTTATACCGAGGTTGGACTGTACAACTAACCCAAATAAAAAAGTTCCAGAGAGTAGAGAAATTAAAAAATTACTTGATATTTCGCCTCACCAAAGAGCTAGTGCTATAAAATAAAATAATTTACTAAAAAAAATTTACATCAGTTACATCAATTGATGTCTTGTTAATTTACAATGTCTAATCTACTAATTTGGTTGCCATAAAATTAAGCAAACCAAATACTTAATCTATTAACACAAGTTCTTTACATTTGAATACAATTGATATTCCAACATATAAATCAAAGCTCCTCTTGTAATATTCTTGCCTCTCTGCAGCCTTCTACCATGGACTAACCAACACAAGTAGGCTTCTCATCCCATTGTGTGTAGTTCATGTTGGTGACACTGATAGCTAGTGTCGACGAAAGTTTGTTTCTATTATTTTGGGGTTGATTTAATGATTTCTGCTGAGAACTAACAATATAATTGGCTTCAGCTGATAGGGATGACAAATCTACCAAAGGAGTACGTTTCATCTTTATTGCTATTACACTAGTAAAATACCAGTTTCATGTGTTGTGTAGCAGTCGGTTTATTTTATTTTTGTTGATTTATGATTCAGGTTGCAGCTTCCATCGGGATGTGTCACCTGCATTCTCACATGGGAGGTGATACCAAATGCTGCAATCTCTGCTGACACAATATTAACGGTAAGTACATTCATGTTAGTTATCCCTCAACCTGTTTGACACTGTAACGTTAAGCTCATAAAATGACACCAAACAGTAACAATTCATTTATTCTGCAACAACATCTAGAAAGCTAACACAAGTTAACTTAATGTAGGATCAGTCAGTATGTTTTAAATAACTTGCACCTAGGTAGTTTTCAAATTCTAGTGATATAATTAGTTGTTTTTCATTAATTGGAATTGTCAATTATGTGCTGCTACGGATAATGAAACCGTTTTTAAAGGTAATTTTTAAAAGCTACACTTATATTATTACGTTGTAGAATTTTATTATCGAAGGAGAAAATTAAGATTTTAGAGAGGACACAAATTTATTTATTCATATGTATGAGCTGGCAACACTAATACACAGATACAGGCTATAGCAGATGCTCTAGTTATTACTATTGGTTATTGAGAATGCTGGATTACTAAACTTCTTCTAAAAAAGGCAATTTTTTTCAAAAACTAATGGAAATACTCTAGTGGTTACTTGGCGATCGCTCATGACTACCAAACAGGCTGAATCTTGAAAAGAAAATTTTTAAAACCTTTAGACCAATGCCGGTTTATTGAAAATGCCCGACCATTGTATGTCAGATTAACATAAGTGACTTTAAAGTACATTAATTTTCCAATAAGGTTGAGGAGTGTAAATGGTAGGTCCTAATGGTTGTTTGTTTGTTGTACAGACTGAGCCGTGGTGGGGACGTTGTAGGTCTGAGTTGTTTGTTCTCTGCTGGTCGGCTGACTCCAACCCAGATCTCCGAGTCTCACTACGGCCAACACGACAGAATCAAATCTATTCCAAAGTCTTGTGTCATCTTCGTAAGTCACCACCAAAGCAATAATAATAGTTGGATTTCCGTCGCCTTTTTGTTCGTTTTGAACTTTGGTTACGATATTGATCGTCAAAATTTTAAACACAACCAAAGCTGTAATTTTAAGGTTATCGCTTTAAACGTGTCTTAAGTAATTTATTAATGTTATTTAATGTTAAGTCCATTCTGTAAAATATTTGTACATATAATTTGCATTTGTTTGTTATGTTTTTTAATAGTTTACATTTTACATTTATATCCATCCGTTTCACTGTAGTTGATATTTAAGTGTTTAATATTTTTAGTCATTTTTCTGTGTTTGTGTTAAGTCCATCAAATGTTATCTGGATTTGAAAATGGTTTGCAATGGTTTTACTGTTGACCAGTTTTAATGGTTTCTATACAAATAGTAGATTTATGTATATTTCTGTTATAAGAGTTATCAAACATTTATAGCAATTTATAAGATATTTTACTAAATATTTATTATTATACATTTATATTCTAAAGATGTGAAATGAAAAAGTTAAATGAACACTGCAAGTTCTTGTTTAAACATTACAGGTTTTTATTCCAAATCCTACTAAACTGTCCACGGGCAACTGCCTAAAAAACGTTCAGAAACATAATAAATAGTTTATTAATGTTATATATATTTTATGAAGGTGCTGAGGTATGTTGTTTTAGTTTGTCGATAATTTTTTTTTTTTTATCATACCCAACACTTAGCTAAATTTTATTCAATTTGTTTAAATATGAGGTTTGTATTATCAAACAATGATCGGGATGTTATTACATGGTCGTATTTCCTTATCAGCAGACACGGGGGTTGCCAAGGACCTCTTCCTGGAAGGGGTCTCAAAGAAATTTATTTACTCCTGAAAAAAGAATTTGACCGATAGTTGATTAGAGTGTTTGATTTCCGAGCCAAATCGATTATCTCGATCACTGATAGTGTCTGTAAATATTGTGCCATCGAAAAATACTATTTAGACAGTGAAGTCTGTGCGACCGCAAACGATGAGACCTACAGAAATAGCTTAGTCCCTATATGGGAAATTCGTAATTTTAATAACATATAATTTTAAATATAGAGTTTTTTTTAATAAATACTTATTGAACATTTAAAATTTATATCAAGAGATCTTATTTATTTGTATTAAATTGCAATATGATATGGAAAACCCCAATTAGTGATGTGTTGAAGCTAAATCTTGGATCTTGAATTTATTAAATATCAAAAAGGAATTGATGTTTAACCTTCAAATCACATGGCCATTCTCAACCAACACACAAAATTAAATTGGATAGGAATGTTAAGACAAAGAAATTGTGGAATTTCGAGTTACAGTTTTATTGTAGCTTCATAATAATAAATGAAAGTACCAGTGTCAAATTTTTACAGCATATTCTTAGTATTCCAAAACCCTGTATAAGAGTTTGAGATTTAAAATTCTCAGATTCAACCATCACTAAATCTAATTGTGTGCAATTTTTTATTATTTCATATTTATATATAGTTTATTTAACTTTTATCATGGTTTTATTATAAAAAGATTAAAAAGAAGGCATATTAAAGGAGATAGAGTTTATATACATTAACTTTTTTATGGTTTTACTAAGTTAAATCACTAACTAAAAAATCACTGGTTGATGAAATTGAACTCAAAAAGAAATTTTAATACAATTGCAAGCCATTATTGGAGAAATAGTGAGTATCAAGTACTCATTCATTGTTTTTCTATCTTATCTTTTGGTTGCTAAATTTTTTTAATTTTTGAGATTAATTACATTTTTTCAAATGTAAATTATAATCAATCTGAGCATAAACTAGTCATTTATTTTAGCACTATTTTATCCGTCATATACTTAATATAGTTTTATTTTACACACATAGTGGTATTTATGTATGGTTTATATTCATTTTCATCTGTATAAAGTCTCGATCTCCAGGTTTTATTCTGTTTGAGTCTTATTTTGTCACTTTTCAGTTCTTTGTTATTGTATTCATTTTTTCACTCTTATACTCTTTGTAAAGCAATTTTCTAATGAATTTGTCTCTTCACTTGTGTTTTCATTTATTTATTGTAAATTTTCTTTAGTAGTAATTATATATAGATAATAAACAAATTTGATTATTGTTTCTCTTGTTGATTTGTTTACCTTATTTTCTTTTACTTATTTTAATTTACCTTTTAAAAATTGTTTTTATCTTTTTTTATGAAGGTTGGATATTTGTGACTTAAGTTTTCTTTATTGAATGACTTAGGTTTTTTAACCAAGTGGTTATAATAGTGCTCGCCTTCAAATATGAAGGTCGCTTGTTTGATTCCTAGCAAAACCATTTTTGGACACAGATGCCATCTGTCAATCAATTAATGATGCTATCTTTTAGATAGTTGACGTTAGATTGTAAGACCAGGTTTTTGACTGTTTCCTTAAAAACTGTTAGAAAAATACCAATGGCGAGGAAACTCGATGAAGCTAATAAAACATATTATTAGATTGTGGGGTGTCATATTAAAGTGTGAGATTCGGAATCTAGTCAACTTGAGACTTAAGACTTGGTCCCATTGACCATTATGATAAAACAATATTTTTTGTATGAATATGAAACTAAGCTATACAGGGTGTCCCGGAACTCTCTACCAATATTTTAGGGCATTGATCCTGGGTAAGAAACTTACCTAAATATCATATTTAAATTGTCCGGAAGTCCTTAGTTACTCACACAGCCACCATTTAGTTTTTTCAGTTATTAATTTTTTTCTAAAGAATGGTTAAACATACGAAATGGAAACTTTGCACAAACATTTATGACAACTAGAGCATGTTACAAAAAAATTATGACGATTTTTCAAATTCATAAAACAAAATGGCGGCCATTTAAAATTTTCTTTCTTAAATAACTCAAAAACCATTGATTTTACTGAAATGTTAAATGGCTGCCATTTCGTTTTATGAATTCGAATAATCGTGATAGTTTTTTGATAGCTTTGTCTAGTTATCATAAATGTTTGTGCAAAGTTTCCATTTCGTATGTTTAACCATTCATTAGAAAAAAATTGATAACTGAAAAAAACAAAATGGCGGCTGTGTGAGTAACTAAGGACTTCCGGACAATTTAAATATGATATTTAGGTATGTTTCTTACCCAGGAGCAATGTCCTAAAATATTGGTAGAGAGTTCCGGGACACCCTGTATATTTGTTTTGTTTTTAACCATCAAAAATAGGAACCAAATTAACCATAAATTTGATGTAAAAAATAAAACACCTTATAAAAAAGTATTATTTTATGGCTATCCCTCAAGGTAGGTACAGTAATCTTAGAGATCTTGCATTTCAAGTAAATTAATAACTTCATCCACAACCACAAGTAATTTTACTTAGTTACCTTGTACCTGCTGAAGATGGAATATCATCTCATATTTTTGGTTTTACTGCCATTTAATTTTGTGAAAGTTGGCCTTTACTCAATTAGTGTTATTGGAAACTCCTATAAATTCAATATAATCGCCCAGCTACTTCACTTTTGCATGAACACTTAAGCCTATGTTCGTTGATACTGAAAACTGAAAATTACTTTTTGTCAAAATTTAACAAGCGTACATATCAGCCTGAAAGATAGTAATATTTACTTTCAAGTACCGTACAGGAATTTGATTTTAACAGAGATTTCAAGGTTTTAGAGAGTTCTTGAATGTAAATTGTTGTTTAGGTTGGATGTTTACAAAATTGGGTATTTGGGACTAAATTCAGGCATATTTTTTATGAAAACTGGATGTTAACATTTTTTTTAGTGTTTAATGTTGATCACTTGTTGGTACTATTTGACATCCAAAATAAAATATTGTTCAATTTAAACCATTGCAATCCATTTTTCCTAAAAATGCCAATTGTCCAAAACTTGATGTAACGTTATTCTTTTCTTGAAACATATTCTAGGGTAAGGTTAGCAGTTATTGTTCAGAAGGTCTTCCAAGAATGGAATTACAAAAGGGTTGTATTTTTTCAAACACGTTATGTATACAATAATGTAGTGTGGAAATCTTAATAAGGTTAGTTAAAACTGGTTGATGTTTATTGTAGGTAAGTATAAAATTATTGTATCTTTTTTTTACTTGATTGATAAAAGTAAAGTAAAACAGAGATCAATGTTTTAATGTTCTATGTCCGGATTATTTTTTTGGTTAAATGTAAAAGTGTTTACAGTATTAAATTGAATAAAAAAACAAGTTCTTTTATACCTAACTTCAAATTATTAACTAAACAACATACACCAAATTAATTCAACACGAAGCATTAAATATTGCCAGTAAAATATGGGTTTTAATCCAGAGGAAGTAAAAAAAATATATATTCCCAAATTTTTCTTCCTTTCCTTATCACTCTGCTTTATTCCTCATCGATGTTTGTTTTACTATTTATTTATGTACAAGAATATATCTGGAGTCAAAAAGAAAAGTAAAGAAAAGTAGTGGCATTGTTTATTTTGTTAAAATTTTATTCAATTTTATCTTATGTCAGTTTAAAATTGCTTTATATTCTGTAAATCTGTATTAAATCCTCCTGTAGTACCTCAAATCCTCAAACCTACACACTCCGTTATAATACCTCAACATTTCACTTTTTAGTTTCGTGTTTTACAATAAGGTTTTTTCTCTGTTTTTTATAGATTACATCCATGTTCTAAACCCATCACTGTCCCATAATACCTCATCTTGAACCTTGATATTCCGCTGATGCTTATCTTCTCAATATCTATACAGTTGTCATGTTTGTACGTAGCTTTTGTACGTGGAGCAAGTGAGGTTAGCTTGTACGTTAGTTTAGGAATCATCTTGTACGCTTATAAGGCAGTGGCTTGACTGTATTTTGTACGTTTGTACTGGCTATATACCTGAAAGATTAGATTCAGAGCGAAAAGCAATTTATGTGATCTGAGCATTTAATATTGATACAGTAAATGTTATAAGTCGTTTCATCTGCTTCTAGATTTACATACACTTGAAACTGTGTTTGGATTCATGAAAAACCTTGTTAGTGTCAAGTTAATCTTATTGAAATTATTTATCGGGTTTTTTTCTTTCTCTGACATGTACTCTGTCTGTAGATTCATTAGAAATACCTGTTCACGAATACTAGAAAAGACCCAGTATGCATCATAAACATAAACAAATTACGTTTTTGGCCCGAAAGTAAACAAAACCATTTGTTAATTAATGCTATTAGTAGAGGGGTTTTGTTTACTTTCGGGCCAAAAACGACATTTGTTTATGTTTATGATCCATACCGGTATTTTTCTAGTATTCGTGTACCTGCAAAAACCAATTCTAAACAAAGATTTAAAGTCATATTTTAACCCTTTTCATTGACACAATTATAATTTAAACCATTTTGCTAGCTCAATTTGTTTATATCAATTGGTTGGTTTATTTTTAGAAAAAGCACTTTTCTCAAGTCTACATTGAGTAAAAAGGAATATATACAGAATTAACATACCTAAGAAAACAGTTCCAGGTGGTTTAAAGCACAAAGAAAGTTCACAACAAATACAAATATTTCGTACCTAGGGCCGAAAATGAGGTTTTGCCGGCTCGAGATATTTCTCGAGAGCTGTAAAACCATTTCAGTCTGTGGTACGAACGCTATTTTTCACCACACTATACCCTATAACCACTATTCACCACAATAATAAATAATGCACACTGATAGTCAACACAACTACAAATTTAAGGTTGTGTGAAGAAATAATTTGAGGAATCAGCAAAAAAAAAATAGTTGCTAGGCAACGGTGACAATAATACAATTCTATTGCAATGCTATGGATACTGATTGTGTATTTAATATGCATTCATGTTTTGAGAAAGTAAGCGGGCAGCTGATTTTGCGGCCCTAGGGACGTAAAAACCTGCTCGGTCCCCGAAGGACGATGACAGCTGGCATGGCCAGCAAAACTTAATTTTCAGCCACCAATTAACGTATGTAAAACAAACAGTTTAAACATCATAGTGTGGTGAAAAACTTATTGTGTCGTAAACATTGGTTGTGCTTTCAACTATCTGCAACTATTTCCTTCGGTAAGTTGTTCACAAAATGTTGGCACTTTAAGGGGAAGGTTTCATGGGTTCCCCCACCCCTGTTTGAAGCTAAATATATAATATAGCTATCGGCTGCTATTTCAAAGTCGGAGCGAGGTGGAGGGGATGGATTTGCTTCCCCTCAAACGGCCTAAAATTTGTGAAGGACTATAGTTGTCCATTCTTTCTTCCTTATTTTTTTGGTGGCAAGAATTCTTATGTTATTTTGTTTCTTTTAAACCAATTATTATAAGATGTATATCTCTGAGACTAACTTTTTAATTTCACAATTAAAAAAATTCCTTCACAAATTCTATATTTTAAATCTTAATATTATAAACTCGCAAGAATATAATATCTATCTAATAAAGGTGCTATTTTTGCTCTAATGTCCATTGGTTGTTTGATAAATCTGCTTTTAGGAAATAAAGTAATGAATGACAATAAATAATAATGTATTATTATCTTACTGATAATGTATTATTGAATTATAAGTTAAAATTTGTTTTGTAATTTAACGTTTTTATTAAACAAATAGGCGGGTTGTTTGTGTATAGTAAAATATGTAATTCTAACTGATTTGATTTTTTTACGCATATCTGGAAAAAATAACAGAATTAAAAAATAGGGGTTTTTGTAAATTGGGCAGTTCTTAATAATGTAATTGTCAATATAATTATTAACTAATCCCCCCCCCCTTATTAAATTAAATAGTTGTAAAATTACTTTTTTAGCAATGCTCCTATAAATCCATACAATATATCCTAATAAACCATGTAAATAGTATGTGATCAGGTATGTAAAAAATATTTGAAGAATATGTTATAGTATTTAATTTGCTTATTAATGTGTTATTTTGTCAAAAATATTGTGTATGTGTTAAAATTTAAAAGTAAATGGGTTTTTGTGTTATTGTTGTATGTATAGCTGT